GACTTTGCCTAGGATGGAGGTGAGACTGACTGGCGTATAGTTGCCTGGGTCCTCCTTCCTCCCCTTCTTGAAAATGGTGACCACATTGACCAGTTTCCAGTCCTCCGGAACCTGGCCCATGCGCTATGAGTGTTCAAATATTCTCGCCAGTGGCTGTGCAATGACGACAGCCAGTGCCTTCAGTACCCTCGGATGGAGCTCATCCGGGCCTGTTGACTTAAATGCATCCAGTTCCTCCAATTGCCTCTGCACCATCTCAGGGTCTATGCTTGGTAGTCTGGCGCCCTGCTGCTGCCTCTCTACAATCCCAGTGAGCGACTTGTCTTGCCCCTCGCTTAGGAACACTGAGGCAAAGAACTCATTGAGGAGTTCAGCCTTGTCCCCCCTGTCCGTCACCAATTGCTTATGCCCATTTAGTAGAGGTCCTATTCCACCCTGGGCCTTCCTTTTACTCCCTATATATCTAAAAAACAATTTTTTGTTATCCTTAACTTGGGATGCCATCCTCAGCTCCATGGTAGCTTTGGCCCGACTAACTGCCTCCCTACAAGCACGAGCAGAGGAGGTATACTCCTCTTTAGTAATCTCTCCCCGTTTCCACTTTTTATGTGCCCCCCGAACTTGGAAAAAAGAAGTACAGTTCTTTTTTCTGTAAGATTTCAGAGTAAGGACTTTCTGTCCTGTAGCTAGATCTGTGCCTCTCAGAAGCTTTAGACTTTGCTTAAGTCCCATAAAGGCAAAGAGGTGCGCTCACAGGGCAGAACTGAAGTCCCAGATCAGAAGCACCTATAAATCTGAACCTCAGAACATCGTAAACTTATGAAATTTGAGACAGGTTAGATTTGCCCAGTTCTACTTATCGCTACTCTAGAGCTCCATCTAGTGAGGAAGTAGCCAACCCACCTGAATAACTGTTTATTCATAAAACAATACTTTGGTACATTATATATTTTCATGTTATTTATATGGAAATAACAATCTAAATTGTCTTTTTTTCTGTATCAGTACGTAACCTACTACACAATGCATACCTGCAGGACATTTTCCCTTTCCTCATCAGAGATCCATTCCATGGTTTTTTCTCTGAGAGCCTCTTTGAAATAGGCATTATAATCTTCCTGTGCTTTCTTTACTTCCTCATTTCGCTTAATTATATATTTGGGAGTAATACCATAATCCTGTAAGGATAAAGGGAATTAAATCCCATTGACACATCTGAGAAAAAAATGAAAGATACTTCTATAACAAATATTATCTGTAATGATATTTAAGGTTACAATCAAAGTTGGTTTTGAGTATTATTTTGGAATATTATGTATTACCATTGAACAATAAAAAAAAAAGTCAATGTTATCGTCTGAGGAGCATTAAGCCTGATTTTTGCATAGACTTTGAAAGAGTCTCTTCACCTGTATGTTTGGGACTTCGAAATGCACGAAAGTAAAAACCCCAAAACTTCCGTTCTAAGGACCACTATGAGATTGGCATATTAAACAGCTTTGTATCTGCTAACCACAGCACCACTTTTTCACATTTTTACATTATTAACAGTACATGCCACACTGTAACATTCGTTTTTGGATACATTATTTGAATTTTTTCCTATGTACAGATCTTTACTAAAACATTACATATCATGAAAAGGACTTACATATTTTAATATGGCATGTGTGCTAATGATGGGCTCAGTTATGACTGACAGGCAGAGTTGCACTGGGGGTGGTAGACTAAACTATCAGTTTCACTGGGCAGGGTTGAATTCCAAGGAGGGAAAATCCATTCAGAAGGTCACAGGTGTTCAGGGTGAATGCAGCCTCTGCATCATCCTTTACAATGATGCACTATGCTTTTCTCATTGCAGGCAGCCAGCTCTGCTAGAAAAGGTGGGATCATGGTCTTGGCTTTTCCCACCAAATTTGGGGTGCCTTGTGACCCCAGGGATGCTGGACAGCATTACCACTATGCTTCACTGTCACAAAGGTGACATGAGGCCCAGGAGGATTTTTAGTACCTTTCCCTATATTTGCTCACTTGTTAAGCAATCAGGAATGCTCTGGCCCTAGAATTCTCTCTATATTATGCATAACAGATGAAAATCCTATTGATGTCAATGTGACTTCATGTACTGAACTATAATCCAATGGTTTCTGACCAGTATGATGTGGCACCCCAGGGTGAATTGAGATCCTTTCAAGGGTACTGTGGGGTGCCACACAACATTAGCACTATGACGTGTATAAGCAGGATTCACATAACAAACAGAGATTTCAAAATAAGGATCTGAAGCTATAAAAGCATTCTGCCCTGCTGTGATCTTTCTGATTTCTTTGCAACTTTTCTCTGTAGTCAAAAAAACAAGTGAAAACTCAGAGGTAGCATTTTCCGAGGGGTACCTCAAATCTATCCAGCGGTGCCTTGAGTCCAAAAAGGTTGAGAATTACTGATATAATTTCTAAAGGATCTAACAAAGATGTTAGAAATATTAATGTAATGTCAAACATAAAATCGTGCAGAAACTGGTTGGTTAAACAATCATAACTTACACAACTTCCTGTGTATATTTGTAAGGCTTTTCAAATTAATATTTTGTTCTATATACTAATGGAGGTCACTTCGCATATTCTGCTAGCTTTATGACCTGTTCCCTACTTCAGACATATCACAGATGCTCATTTGTATGCAGATGGGTGTGCTTGGCTAAAATGCACAGCTGCACAAACGGAATATTGTACTTCTTAGCCATACCCAAAATTCGTAAGTGAAGGGAGACTATGAAGATATTAATCCTGATCCTTTCATAAAGTTCCATGGATTTATATGTGAACTAATATTTATGAACAGTGGGCTAATATATAATGATGAGGTATATGCTACTAGCACTTTGACAGACTACAGTTTGTGAAGATTATGTACATAGCAAACCAATAACCATCTCAATTAGCATTTTTTCTTTTTTCCGTAAAGGCCCTATAAAGGCAGAGGGTGACAGACATTTTTGTGCTTTATTCTTCCACCCATCAACCAAAGTTCTGACACGTTAATTATATTTCCAGTGAAATAAAAGTTGGAGTTATCCTGTAAACCTAACACTACCATTCCTTATAAAGGCTGATGTTTCTGTGGCACAATATGAGGTACTCATTCTTAACTAACTGGCAACAATCCCTCATTCTTGGCCTAGGACAGAATGAGAATGAGCGAGTCTGAGCAAATTCTGTTCTCCACAGGAGAGTGGGTTATGCAAATTTTACATAGCACACAGAAACTGTATTAGTTACTGTAAAATGTAAGCAGTTATTTTACATCAAAACTACCATTATAGAGCCAAACCTATAGAGCCAAACCTGGGAAATGGAACAAATGTGAGTGAAAAGCTTTTAGTACATCTGAAACTGTTACATAAATGAGGCACTGACTTGTGATCATGCCTGAGTGGCTGGCCCATGAGTGCTATAAGAAAGCAGCAAGTTGCTCCTCCCTCTTTCATATTCCTCTTTTGCTGTGGATGTACACATCAAAGATCCCCTCCTAAGCTAAAGAATGCTGTTGGAATGTGTTTTGGTCTGTAATTTACTAGGGTTTTAAAAGAAACAATGGGCAAAAAAGATGTATACTGTGTGGAACTATATCATCTGCAGGGTTTGAACTGCAGAGCTACAGGACTACAGAAGAACGCTGTTGACCCAAAAAGCATTAGAGGGATCCTAGTGGTCTATTTTCTCATCTGTTTTGGATGTGGGGTGCTCCTTCCTGATACTGTTCTTTCAGATGGGGGTACGAGCTAATTGGGGGCATTAGGTCAGAGGAAATTGCTGGAGGAAATCTAAACGAATTATCTATCCCTACCTCCTAAAATAATGTATATTCCTCAAATTCCCAATGTTTAAGTTTGCTTTGGCAGTTGCACAGGGCCAGAACTTTAGAACATCTATAGTTGTTATTTTTGCATGCTGCCAACATTCTCCTGACAATGGAAGCAAGGAAAGGGCAATGCCAATTTTCACAAACTTTTATTTGAACAAACCTGAAAAAAACAATCATAAACAAAGACACCTTTCTGATCCCAGTATTTTTCTGATGAATGGCAAAAATCTGCTGCAAACAAGAGAGGTGTTAGAACTTAACAAAAACATCACAAGTGTCTTTTATAATGAAAAGTGACAGGCGATCTAAAACAGGTACTTCTGTGGTAATCTAACAAAACGTACCTTTTTTTTAATAAATTTTGGAACAAGTCCTGAAGTTTCAAGGAGATATTTGTCTCCTAGTCTCCTGTCAACACAAACAGGTTGATACGTCTTTGGCTTTCCCATAACAGCGTCAACTGCATTTGTACGTATAAAATTTTTTTTAACTTGCACACCTATAATTGGGTGATCTGTCTTCTGTGGAACTGGTGGTAATGTTGAGATTTTTTTAGAACCACGATCTTTTTGCCCTGTGGAATTAAGCATATAAGGATCCTTGTTACAACTATAAAGAATTTATGTTTTCTGATGTCTCAAGAAACTGAAACAACTAAAAATGAAAACAACAATGAACAAAATCACTCAAAAGATGTAAACCAGTTAGTCAGCAACATAAGAATAAATAGGGAACTACTGCAGTAAAAAACTACTAAAAGTTTTTTGGATATGGGAAAAGTCCTAAACCTAAGAAAAGCTGTATAGTTTCCAGTCAGAATTTGCATGGTAAAAATCCATGTATAAGTACCACCTTGTAAGACTTCTTCCATACATTTTCTGCTAACTGCAGTAGAATGATACTATTGAATATACTTAAATGGTAAGAAGCTAAGAATAACAATTGTCTTTTGCTAAAGAATAAGGAGGTACTGTCATCCAAGACATTAACGGTTTTATGTATATTGTAATATCTTCAATTCTTAACAGATTCTTTTTACATATTACAGCATATAATACATACCTTTCTTGTAATTTTGTTCAACTTGATTGTCTCACAGGATTCTCCCTCTCAGATTTCAAACATCTAGAGCAAGACTGGTTGGGAGCTGTCAAAGCTCTAAAGTTTTATAGGATTTCACCTTCTCCCACTCCCCATACCCCGCAATGCAGGTAAATAAGCAAGTGTGCATGGTGCAACGTAGTGGAGTGCTCAACTGTCGGTCCTTTTTGAGCAACAGAGGAAATATTCACCCATGTACAACCTTAAAGGCAAAATATTCTGAAGCTCCCAAACTCTGGAAGCAGATAGATGAGCATGAATCCTAAAAAAGAATATCTTTATAAAGAAGCAGAATTACAAGGTGAATGATAATTTATCTTCAAAGATACCATCATCTAGGATTTGCACTTTCAGAGAGTAAATATCTTGAGAGATGTCCCTTCTAATACAGAGATCTGTAATATACACTGCACTGGTCAGGGCTGAAAGTTTCTGCCCATGCTAATTAAACCAACAGTAGACTTTCTGCCTTTTCTTTTCTGAATATCAGAAAAGAGGGATCAGGTACCTCCAAAAACATAAGGGATAAATATGAAGAACCTCATATACACATACTAAAAAAGAAAATTTGGCCAAGCTTTTTGAGCATTCTGGAAGGAAAAACAATTCTAAGCAATGGAGAATGAAAACTTCTTTATTTCAAAAGTGTAGGCCTGAGAAACTAAAAGAGGATTTACTCCTAGAGGAAGATTATGTGCAACACAAGTCATGCAACCATAAATCAGAAGATATATATAGCTACCAGAATTAAAACATTCCTCTGGTTCATAGAACAAGCTGTTTTCTTGAATCTGATAGTGGAAGATAGGAAAAGACAGGTCATGACCTCCTAAATCTCAGCTATCAAGCTCCCATTAGTAAGAAATGGTAATGTGAATCCTTAGTCAAACAAGTCAACAAGTAAGTGTGAAAAAACAAAAGTTTGACTGGATCTCAAATGTCTCAACTCTGCTCTGGGCAAAGCCCTAAGGTTTTTTGTAGTGGCAAAGTTTAGAAGAAACACCTCACCAAGACAAGAATACATGACTAGTGAAACTGTACACTGCTCAAGCAAAGTATTCTTAGACAGATTCAGACTGCTGGCTACCCTACTTTTTTCCCTATCTCTCTGAGTGTTTCTATATCCCTCACAGCAGCAATATTCGAAAACTAAATTGATTTTTTCAAAGGTGCCTAGTACTTTCAACAGCAACGGCTGTTGAAAGTACGACTCTTGTCGTGCCCAGCGACTCTGAAACTTGAGACTTAATGGACTTGTCTAAGGTCAAACAGTCTGCAGCAGAGCCAGAATGTGAATCCTTATTTCCTATGTCCAAACAGCAAGCCAAAGCTGCTGTCACCAGGAGCTCTCTTTCAACAAACAAGGCTAAGTCCATAGAAGGGCTTATTTTTTGTACCTGAAGCCCAAACAGTGAAAGGAGAAAGAAAAATATTTAAAAAAAAGGACATTGTAAAATCATGAATGTTTGAAGGGAGTACACGAAACAGTCTCAACATATAGAAGCTACTTTAAACTTTCTTAAAGAACATTCAAGTTAGTAATGATGTTTTCCATACTGAGACTATCAATCCTAAAAGTACATACTCTGTAGTAGCTTTGGTTCCCTTGAACCTTTCAGAAGAAAGTTTTTTGGAGAAGGTACTTCAACTTTTTCTGGTCCAATGGTTTTCCAAGGAGCTTTATTTTTCTGTGTCTCATACTTCACAGATGATCTAAATGTTGATATATATCTATAATATTAAAAAACAGAAAGACAAAAATTAAAAGTCAGACTACCAGTTAAAATTATTTTTCTGCTGAAAATAGATTTTTAAGTCTTTATCTATAGAAAATATTTATATAAAACTATCTATATGCAGTTTGTTGCTCAAAACACTTGAGCTTTTCCTTATTAAAAGTATGATTAGACATTACACCATTATTTTATCATCATGATAAATCATTATGTTGTGCTGTATACTTTGCTCCGTCTTCTTTTTAAATGACCTGCCTCCTGCAGCTATATTTAATGGTACTTGAATGTTTTCTGATCACTAGAATTTGCATGTTGGCTTCATTGTATTTTGTCCAATTATTATTGGAAATATGCTGCTAGTATGCTTCTACGTGAAAATTTCAACTATGTTCATGGAATTTTCCACATTTGAACACTGAGTCTAGGAAGGCTGTACACAATATACAGTACCTCTTCAAGCCCCGCAGCCCCCGACCACTCACGTCCACACATATTTATCAGCCAGTCATGAGCTCAGGTCCAGTGCAGAGCCAAGGCACATGTGCACACACCCCTTCCTCAGGAGAAGTGACTATGTCACCCCTCCCATACTTCACCACCACACCCCTTCCCAATTCAGGTTAGTGCGCCTGCACTATTGGAAGTTATTAAGATTTAGAAGTTGCAGCTTTTCTCAATGGACAAAACACAAAGCCATACCTTGGATGTCATCATAACAACTCACATTAAGCTTATCAAACTTCACAGAGGATTAAACATTTTTATCGTTAACGAAAATATCCATAGTTACATTCAATAGGATGAAAATATATTTTAAAACTATATAAAACAGGGCTTGGCAACTCCTGGCACACATGCCAGAGCCTGGCACGTGAAGGCATTTTGCTTGAAACGTATGCCTTGAAGTGGTCAGCAAGGGAGCTCCAAGTGACCCAATCCTTGTTGTAGTAGTGCAGCCCAGGCCCTTTCCCCATCATCTGTCCTGAGATGCATGTACACCCGCCACTGGAAATGAGCCAGGCCAGGGCTCCGCAGACCCCAGTGAAGCTGCTTGGAGCCTTCCTGCTGCAAGCAGCCCAGGCTCTATGACAGGCAGCAGGGGTCTGCCCAGAGCCCAGGCTGGCTGTGACTAGCAGCTAGGAGTCTGAAAGCAGCTGCACCAGGGTCTACAGAGCCCCAGCCTGGTTTGTTGTCAGTGGCAGGTGTCTGCGTGCCTCAGGACAAATGGCGGAGAAGGGCTGGGACTGTGCTGCCACAACAAGGATCAGGCCCCTCGTGTTTCCTCTGTCATCTGGCCCTGGCATGCCAATATCTTACAAGTTGAGGTTGCGGGTATTTTAGGCACTCTGCCCAAAAAATGTTGCTGACTCTAATATAACATCTCATGCTTCAGAAAATATGCCAACTGAGTACTGATGAGAGCTGATAGAAGTATCTCTCTATAAATTATAACATTTTCATCTGCTATGCTGCTTCTTGTACTTTCCTCTCAAGTACATACTATGAGCTAATATTGGAAAATAGCCTAGATGGATCATTACTATAAGGCAATAAAGAAAATGATTTATTTCTGTATCACATATTTCTAATACAGCATAGGGGGGAAGATTATGAAATGCTGAAATAGCTGTTTTGCTACTGATTTCAACAAGTGCAAGTTAAAGCCCATAAAAAGCTAGACCCAGAAGAATTTGTATGTTGTATGCTTACAATTCTGGTCTTTATATCTCTCAGGCAGAGTGACACCCTGCCTCTGCTTTGATGAAAAGCATAAATAAATGTGTATCAAAAACCTAAAGTGAAACAAAAAAGAAGACTGCATTTGTAGGTAAGTTGTTATAGTATCTATATTTTTGTTGACCTTGCTACAGGACATCACTGAGGTAAAAACTGAACCACAAAGGAGTATATTAACCAAAATCCTGGACCAAACTGAGCAGCCTTTCCAAATGGAAAAAATAACCATAAAAATGTTACTTAAAAGTTTGCAATACATTTTAACAGGAGTTTTTTTTAAGTATAGCCTAGCTAGCTGAAACACAAAGAAGATAAGGAATGACTTTGATCATTCATGTTCAGGTGAGCAGGAGCTATAACAGCAACAGCAAAAATGTACACGGAAACAGAGGGCTAGTGATAGTACCTGTCTGTGTAAGGCACCTGTGATTATGAGGGAAAAGGAATCTTCCTTCTGCAATTCCATGACTGGAGGGTTAGAGATGTGGAGGCCATGTTTGTAACAGACTGTGTAGACATGTGAGTGTTCTTCATTTGGCCACTCTGATGGTGTAGATATGGGAAGGAAAAAAACAATGACTGTAGAAATGAGGAGGACTTTTGTCTCTGAGGGACATGAGTTTTAGGGTGGGTGAGGTCCTTGCATGCGGACAGTCAGTTAGTGTGTGATAGTTTAGGAAGGGTGTGGCATATGGGATTTTCTTTGTCTTTTGTGGCCAGCCCTACCTGTCACTACTTAAATATCCAGATATGGCAGCTATACCCCTACAGTGACTTCTAAGAATTTGGTGAATTAGCAAAGTGGACCTTTTAGTTGACATAAAATTGAGTATCTTTGTTCCAGTAAAACACACTAACATTTTGATTCACTTTGATAGCAGTGTGTTATGGATTAATGAAACAGACAAGCATAACAGCTACTTTTCATTCAGAATAAACACAAGGAAAAACACACCTCACAACAAACAAACACATCACTCTCCAAACATAGGACATATGTGAATACACTCAGGTATTAGTATAGTGTGAGCAGAGGGATTTGGTGGGCATTGTTTTAGGTAAATGTGTGTGTTGGGGGAGAAACAAGAGGAACAATATGCAGAGACATGGACAGAGAAGCAAATCAGGTGGAGGAACAGAACTACTGGTACCATGACCCTGGCAAAACCTAGAAAGAGAGCTCTTGGGTTGGGTACTGGCTGAAACAGACTTGGAAGTGCAAGCAAGGAAGTTATCGTTTTGATTCCTCCTCTGCTAAGGAAAACAGCACTTTGTCCATTGTTTGTGAATAAACAGGACTTAATCCAAGACTCCTGACTCCTCAATTCCTCTTGCTAAACAGAACCATCTGCAAGACCCCCATTTTATGGCCAGCCACTCAGGTCTCAGGCAGGGCTATCTGTATGAAATCTTGGTGCAGGGTGGATAAAAAGCAATTATTTATTTTTAAAAAATGATTTTTTAATTTAAATCAGATTTTAAAAAAATTTAATTGTAGTTTTATTTAAGATGCTTGCTTTTTTTAAAACCTATATAAAGATAGCTTTAATTTAAAATATGTTAAAGCTCAAAGATATCATCGTGGAATAGAGATTATAACTTCTAATTATATACACTATTTGAGACAATATATTCATGTAACCTTTTTAGAAAAGTTTTACAACATTGGTCACAGCAGGCCATGAACTATATTAGGGGCCCAATCTTATGGGGTTCCCAGGGGCTCCTCTATAGATTAGTAAAAATTAACGAAAACCACTCTACCCAATGGCACGCAGTGGTCAGTCTAGAAGATCCCATTAAGCATCTCTGTCATGCTTCGTTTCAGTTCTCAAACTGTGAATTTGTGTCTCTAGAGATAACATCCTTGTTAACAGCAGTATATGGCGATGAGAAATAAGAGACCTCATTACCTACCCATCTGCCCCATTGTCTCTCTGCAAGTCTGTGTACACAGCGTCAAGCCCTCTCTAAAAGTTTCAAGAAGTTCAATGAATAAAGGCTGTCAAACAGCAAGAATGCATTTTGTAGAGAACAATGATTAAACCGAGGCTTCCTGACCAGTGATTTAAACTATAATTTAAATCAATTTGATTTAAATCAAATCCACCCGTCTCAGTGCCCCTAGACCATAACATCGCTTATACCAGGGCAGGCCCAGTACATTCCTCCGCTATTTATTGACAAAACGTGTGCTTGGTCGCAGCGATTCTCCAGATAAGAAAACAGCCCTTACACACGTACCGAGGTGGTCTGACAGCTTTCTCCTCCAGACGGGGCAGGAGGTTGTAGAGGTTCTCCTGGGCGCACACCTGTGTCATCCTCAGCTCTGCGGAGAACAGAAAGTGCAGGCGTGTCAGGATGCTCGTGCCGCCCCGCGCTCCCCATGCCGGTCCCTGCCTCCCATCTTCTCCTTTTCCACTCTCTCCTCCCCCCCTCTTCTATGTCCCCTCACACTTCAGTCCACTTTGAACCGGCTCCTCTCTCTTCCTCCATCCCCTCCTCCCCCTCTGCGAGTCACCCCCTTCTGCTCTCCCCCATCAGACCCTCTCACCCCCGCAGGCCCCGCTCTGCCCTGCCCTGCCCCTCCCCGCGCCCATCGCACCGCCCCGCTCAGGCTCTGTCCAGAGAAAGAGACCAGGGTTTTGCCCACAACAACGCAGTTGCTATGGGAACCCGTTGCTTAGCAACACTCCCCCGGAAGGGAAAGTTCCTTTCCTCCGCCTACGGCCCGGCTTAAAATGGCAGAGGCAGGATCCAACAGGGAACGGACCAATCGGGAGCCCGCCTCAGCGCGCGTGCGCAAGAGGCCGCGCAGGCGCACTAGGTGGACTTGGGAAGGGGCGGGGCGGCGGTGGAGGAGGGAGAACTGACGCAGTCGCGTCGCCCGAGGAAGGGGTGTGTGCGCATGCGCCGGGCCTGAGCTCGCGACCGTCTCAGAAGCATGCGCGGGCTGGGAGTGGGCGGGGCCGAGGGCTCGGAGCGGCTGCTGTGCCCGGGGTCTGGGTAGCACCTGCACACGGAGCCCCCGCCGACCTGGCCCCGCCCCTCCTCCCGGGTACGCGCGCCCCGCCGTGACCCGCGCGGGC